CACACACACACACACACACACACACACACACACACACACACACACACGCTTCGTTGTGTTCAAGCTTTAAGTGGAATGTAGGAAGTGTGTGGGTTGTATTTTCAAGCATGCATCTATGTGTAAAGTGATGAGGGACTTCAGATTACCAAAACAGGGGGGGGGGGGGTGTGAGAGGAGGAAAGAGCACCTTGGCACGAGGGTGAATTATGCAGAGCTGAGCCCAATGAATGACCTCTAACATGGCAGGCCATGGCGGTCCTTCTCCTTGGATTTCCAAGACTTGTGGGTCAAATTTCATGCAGAACAGATCTGATGAAAATCTCACAGCTGCTGCTTCAAGTCTTATTTGAGTCTCGTGGCGCTTTGCGAGACTTCAGATTCACTTTAACCTTGCTGTCCCACGCGAGGACGTTCGACAAGAAGTGAAAGCAGAGTTATTTAGATTTACAAACTGGCATGAGGAAATAGCTCGAGACAGTTCTGGAGTAAACATGAATAGGAAGGGTGGGGGAAGAAAGAAAGGGCTGCACGCGAACAACAAGAACGATAGAGACTCATATCATCCAGTGAAATATTGAAATATGTTGTGAAGAATACTTTTCAAGCCTATTTTATGATCAAAACAATTGACTAAGCAGGTTTGGAAGACAATGACCGATGCATAGGAACAACAAAGACGATCTAACTGCGTGTCGAATATTGAAATGTGTTGTTAAATAAAGCTAAATATAGACTAAGTAATCGTAATATCACATAATATAGTTCTCACCTTTCGTGTTTTGGTGCCTCAGCAGTTCGTGACTCTCCGTCAAAAGCTATTCCTGCTCTCACGAAAACCTGCGCTGTCTTCCTCACACACACATCTGCGCAGCTGTTCCCTCCCGAGCTGCTCGTTCTCCATTCCTATTGGACGAGAGCGCCGTCAATCAAAACACGGGCCAATAGCATAGAGGTCAGGCTGTGAAGAAGGCGGGGCGTGCTTAATCACGACCCTAACGGTGACCTGTGCTG